CAGTAGTTTTGAACCGTCTTTGGAAAGTTTCCTGAACTGAACTATGTTGCATGGCCTCGTATACTCTAACATTAAGCTAAAATTTCAACATGTTTATATTTCTCTTGTATTATAATCAGGATTTATTCTTCTAGCTATTTTGTTGGATGATGGCTTTCACTGTTTGATTTCTGCTTGAAAGATAGCATTATGATTTTCAAAGTTGAAATGACAAATAAGATAGGAAACTGAATCAAAGAAAGACAGTGTGCTCAAATTTGATGCGGCTTAAATGGGTTGCAAATCAGTTTATTCCGGAAAGCTTAATCCTACTTCCGAAGCAAATCTACAGAATACGGCTTTAAGCTCTATAGAAAATTAAAATCATGAAAAACCCTGTTTTGCATGTGCAAATTTTATTCTTTCTTCCGAGAATGACGACTAAAGCTGCAAGCTTAAATTTCCTCATCTTTACAGCGTGTGCACATTTAGGCATGACAATTATTCGATGCCATTTGCATTGAAAATGTGGAGAATTTTGATAACGCTATCATGTGCTGATAACGTCATTGCAAAAATATTTACAATCAGAGTATGCACAGTATTATTATGTCGAATTTACCGTGCCTTGAACATCCAAATGGCTTAAAGATTGTTGTCGCCTCCCATACACCGTTTGGGTCTGATATTCATCTTCGCCATGAGTTAACATTCTTTGCTCAGAGGATTAAATTTTACTTTCTTCAGGGATCAATGTCACAGGCCCCATCTTTCTATCCGGACCAGAAGTAAATGTACTGTTCATCGTCAGAGAACTGCCATAAACAAAATAACCAGGTCTACCAACCACTGATTAGTCGGCTTCAACTGTCATCGAATTTCGCAAATCAATCAGCTTTAAGTGGGTGATAAGCGTTCATAACTGTCCGTGTAGTGTAGGTGTATGCACCCAACAGAACTTCGTTCGGCAATGGCATCTTTACTTACATTGTTGCCCATTCATTGTGAAAGAGGTATCAAGGTTGGACTGCAGTGCAATTGAAAACTTTTCGTTAAACATTCCATAATCCAATGTGAGAGCTTACAAAGTTAGGTAAAAACTCTGAACATAAGACACAAATGAGAGTAAAAATGACGAGGAGGAGATGAATGAAAATGGGTGGGACAGCGATGATATTATGATACTCAAAATTTAATGTCCGAAAGAATCACCAAGGTGATAAGTTGACAACTGAAAATGTACCAGAGCGGCGGATGAATATTTCAGTCGCCATTAGATGCTAATTTAAACAACTGAAGTTGATGTGCAACGCATACCCTTCAAACACACTCGTGTCATCAGTGGAATATTCAAAGTGAATGAGTACATGTGTAATCTGAATGCTAGCACAGAAACATAAATATGTAAAACGGTCTAGGCAAAAGTCGATGGTGCTGCATTGCGTATTGAAAGAAGTTTTGATTTTCTATAATTTTCACACTGCTAATTTTAAAGTTCGCCAAAACGGTAATAAAAGTACTGAATATACTCTTTAATCTTCTTTCTTTCCTCCCGATTGATTTAAATGCTAATAAGTGTTGCGAAACAGTACTGTTTCATTTTGCGTATCTTAGTGGTAGATTGCGTCAATCGGGTGGATCGACGAAGTGAAGAGGTTTATGAAGTGATAAATTCTTTGTACCTTACGTGGAAATTTTACGACTGCACACCAGCTGATAGTTCATCACAAAACATTGGCGCGTTTGAAGCACGAATAAAAATGACCAATATCTTCAACCATGTGGCTTCATCCACTCTTCTAACATTTGCAACATTGATGCAAAAATGTAGCAACATTAACCTCCTTGCATCTCGATAAATTCAGCAATAATTCGACTTTTCCATAACCTGTCCTAGTGTTTAGGAGAGCATTATGAATCGTCTTATTCAATTTCTTGTAAACACAGTGGGGAGAGAGCAGCGATGGAAGTACAGGTGTGCATGCCAGTGTCAAAAATCAGGGAGGATTTTCTCGCTAGCGTAATAGAGTTTGAACTTGTAGACTACAACACCTACGACGGCCAGAGGCAGCATAGTTACGCATGCCTTTAAGACATTTCTGTATAGGAGAAACAAATATTGGCCATGACTTGGACAGAAAGAATAGTGAACTTAGTAAGTGTTCTTTAAAAGAAGTTTCAAGGGGATCTAGGCACTGCCTCTTAAAATAAAGCCTACAAATATTAGTTCATTTAAACATGTCGATTAATTTTCTATTCAAATAGTTTTAGCTCCGAGTTAGGGAATGATAAGTCAGTGTTGCAAGATCCGCAATAATATTGCATCTCAAGATGACAAGCCACCTCTGAGAAGATCAAACCCTGCAGTGTTTGCCATCTCATTTTTTTTAATTACGAATTCTCTCTTCGAGCCGGAACCATAACTTTTCTAGATCAATATTTGGGTTTTAGTGCAAGACATAAAGAATATGGTGAATAATTTGTTGCAGGAAACGTGAGTTCAAA